TGTGGACACAAGCTGAACAGCAGTGCTGTGAGCTCATACTGCGTGCGCCAGCCTTGGTGGCTCACTCAGTACTGAGCTCCTAACACCCAGGAATGTTGCCCACGATTTAAAAAAAAAAATGGTGTCTGTTTACAAGAGCCCTGATGAAGGTGAGGTGAACCCCATGGCTCCGTGAGACATTTAAATCTCGCGTAGTACACCAACACGTTATATGACGTGATGCTCAATTTTGGGTAAGTTATTCAACATGTCATATGATGTGTTGCGCAGTTAATGGTTAAAGATGACCCGACAGAGCGCAGGAGAAGTAGTCTGCCCTGCCAGCCTCAAACCCCCTGGAGGAGGAGGGGCCACCCAATGCCACTGCAGGCCACAAGAAACGACCCAAAAAGCCCACGAAACTTGGGACCAGGCATGAGCAAACAGTGCGAGCCTCCCCCCCATTGCCCGGTCAATGGGACAAACTGCGAAAGGGCTGATGCCCCTTATGAGAAGCCGACTTATGAGCAGAGCGATCACCGCTCCGATCAGAGCTATGTCAACAGGCCATTGTGATCTTTGTGTGTGATCTCTGTGTGTGATGATGTAAGGGCGAAGAGGGAGAACGGCCTGTTGACATAGCTCGGGTGCAGGGGGGGGTGTTGTGTAAAAGCCTGGTTTGTGTCTCGGAGAGGCTACGGGATCCAGTAAGTTCAGTAGAACTTCGGTTTCAACCCTTTTACCCTGTCGTAGCTCAGTCGATTAAGGCAGTGTCTGGGATGCTCCCGGACACAGGTTCAAATCCTCGTCACGGCCTTTGTGAATTTGTTCATTTGATGCATCACGTCCTTTTGAACGCATTTTATGTACAATAACACCATGGTCACATTTGTTGAAGGCTTTTGCGAAATCTGTGTAAATTACATCAGCGTTTTGTTTGTCTTCCATGCCATCTAATGCCATGTCATTGTGGTCCAGCAACTGTGACAGGCAAGAGCGCCATGCTCTTGCCATGTTGAAACCATGTTGTCCGGGGTTATGGAGATGCTAGAATTCCAGGTATTTTGTGATCTTACATCTCTTAGTACTCTCTCATTGCATTTTTATGTGTAATGTTAGTCTTTTCGGTCTGTAATTTTTTGCCTCTGCCTTATTTCCTCCTTTTTGGAGTAGTGTTATCTCTGCTGTTGTTAGTTTGTCAGGGATAACGCCAGTATTTAGACTGTCTCCAAAGAATGTGAAGGGCCTGCGAGTGTTTTTTTTTTACAGTTCTTGATGAATATGGAGTTCAAAGAATCAGGGGCCTGGTGCAGAGTGCATAGGCATACTGTTTATGGCTTTTTCAAAATCCAGTGGGGATAGGGTGACATCTGATATATGATTTGATGCTGGTATCATATCCATGAAAAATTCATTTGGGTTATCAATCTTTAGTGTGTTTAGTGGTTCGCTGAAAACAGAGTCATACTGCTTTTTCGGTATCTCGCTCATTTCTTTGTTCTCATAGGTAAAAGTTCCATCTCCCTTTTGCAGGGGCCCAATACTAGATGTGGTTTTTTATCTTGATTTTGCATAGGAGAAAAAATATTTCATTGATGGCCTTTTGCTCTCTCTGCCTCTCTTGGGTTTTGTACTGTTTTGTACCTCCAACTAGAAGAGGCTACTTGTAGATACAACACCACTGCAGACTCTGCAAACAGCAAAGGACAAAAAGGCATAGAAAACCTAAGAGCCAGGACCTACGCAGATTTTACAAACTGAGCGAGCACTGCCTGCCAGCATGCAAGACCAGAAGCAGAGAACAGAGACACCGCCTCTCGCAGATTCGGCACAAACAGCTTCAATGGAGCAGGTGATGGCCGCACCGCCGAGATCAGCACACCAGACCCAGGATCGGCCCCAAGCACCTCCACATCCTCCTCAAGCCAGTTTGAAGACGGCTCGAGAAGGGGGAAAAGAAATGCAAGACCACAGTCAAATGGACATGGGTGCACTAGTCCTCAGTTACCAGGGCAGCTGAAAGGGAGGGAACCTACATGTTAAGCTGAACAAGACCGGCATCCTGAGGAAGGGCAGGGGCAAACAAACTTGCATCGAGGTACTCAAACTCAACCCTCAGGTAAACCTGTACAACAGTAAGGGCTCTTGCTATTCAAGCGTGCAGGACCAACAGAACGTATGCCTCCCAACGAAAAGATGGACAATCTACCAACCAGGATGACTGCGGAATGTTGTAATGAACCAAATAAGGAAAAGAAAAACCGAACTCAAAAGAGGCAGGATTAATTATCGAGGCAGAATCCAGGTCGCGCAGGAGGTAAGCCACAATGGCCTCCTGCACCTAGTTGAAACCTGGTTGGTGGGGTTCTGGGAGTTCTTCTACTCCCCAAGCCTGGCCTCTGACTTGTGAGAGTTTGGTCCACTAGGCTGTTGCTTGGAGCGGCCCGCAGGCCCACATACCCACCACAGCCCGGTTGGTCCGGCACTCCTTGCAGGAATAAATCTAGTTTCCTCTTGAAGATGTCCACGGTTGTTCCGGCAATATTTCTTATGCTTGCTGGGAGGGTGTTGAACAACCGCGGACCTCCGATGTTTATACAGTGTTCTCTGATTGTGCCTATGGCACCTCTGCTCTTCACTGGTTCTATTCTGCATTTTCTTCCATATCGTTCACTCAAGTACGTTGTTATTTTACTGTGTAGATTAGGTACTTGGCCCTCCAGTATCTTTCAGGTGTATATTATTTGATATCTCTCTCGTCTTCTTTCTAGTGAGTACATTTGGAGGGCTTTGAGACGATCCCAATAATTTAGGTGCTTTATTGCGTCTATGCGTGCCGTATATGTTCTCTGTATTCCCTCTATTTCAGCAATCCCTCCTGCTCTGAAGGGGGAAGTGAGTACTGAGCAGTACTCAAGACGGGACAACACAAGTGACTTGAAGAGTACAACCATTGTGATGGGATCCCTGGATTTGAAAGTTCTCGTAATCCATCCTATCATTTTTCTGGCTGTCGCAATATTTGCTTGGTTATGCTCCTTAAACGTTAGGTCGTTAGACATTATTATTCTCAAATCCTTCACATGCTGTTTTCCTACTATGGGTACATTTGATTGTGTTTTGTACTCTGTATTATGTTTAAGGTCCTCTTTTTTACCGTACCTGAGTACCTGGAATTTATCACTGTTAAACATCATGTTATTTTCTGATGCCCAGTCGAAAACTGGTCCTCCTCATACCACCTCATGCGGTGGTATACGGGAGGTCGAAAACCTCCAGAAAGAAGGAACCGAAGTACCCAGGGGAGCCCAGAACCGAATCCAGGAAGGGATTGACGCCTTATCAACCTTGTACAAGCAGGAGGGGGGGGGGGTTAAAGAAAACCCACCCCCTTCAACAACAAGCTCTGCTCAGAGGGTGCCAAATCCCAGGTGGGGTCAAATGGGGCCCAAGCCCCCAAGTCAACCCCTCCCCTGCCCCAGGAACTTCAACATCAGGACCTGAGGCTGAGTCGTCCTTCAAGCTCCCCCTGCCACTGAACCCCAGTGGGGTTTTTCCAGGGCCGTTAGATGCTCTGCTAAGGGAAACCCAGGCAAGGTACTGGTAACTGGCACCCCAAACTACCAAGCAAACAGCTAATAGCTGAACCCCTGTGATGTATACATACTCACAGGGACCTAGTAAAGAACCACAAAGAATACAATATATATAAGTGGCAATAACACCAAGGGCAGACTGTCCGCCAGGCAGAAAACAAAAATAAAATAAAAACCCTGTACGAGTACAATGTACCCAGATGGAACAGAGCCGGCTGCTTTATCAGATGAAGAACAGCTGCACAGTACCTTACAACAACAACAAAGGGCAGGGGTAGGGCCTGCCCTTGTTGTGTTGTGTTGAACCAATTTAGACCAGCTATGAAACCACCTTCTACCCAGGGGCAAACAGAGGCGCATGAAACATCCCAGCAGACTCTAAGGGTGGGCAGTTACTGCGCAGTAAAAGACCTCAACGGAGGTAGCCCCCCAAGCAACTTGTGGAAGATAACCCCCAAGCCACAAGGGCAGTACTTACAGGGCACCTATGGAAGGTAACCCTAGGTGCATTCAGCACTGGTGAAAATACTCCTGGCTCGCACACCACCACAGGGCACGTTCACACCTCAAGGCACAGCACTGAATAGAATCTGGAGTCAGAGTTGAACAACCACAAGGTCTCACATTAGCCACAGAACTGATGGGTTGGATAGCCAGCACAGGGGGGCTGGAGCTCTCCCATCCCCCTCCTGGGATGAGGGGAACTGTGCAGACAGCAGCGCGGTGACACTTGTGATGGTATGCTCATTTTTCGTTTGGGGAGTTCTGTCCAACAGTTCGGCTTTCAGTAGCAATATTTTAACCAGATAGGGTTTGTTTTGGGGCTCCTACCTTTCTGGGTGCCTGACCTGGTCAATGGAAGACATAGAATGCTTCCAACCACACGGGGGATTTCTATATGCCATTGCTCCTCGTGCTTCTCTAAGGGGGGCCAAGTCCTGGCTCGCGGTCCCCGTATAACAGGGGCCAGCCTTTACCCTCACTTACTGGTTAAATGCTGGTCATTATTAAGTAAATATACAGAAACCAGAGTTCTACTGTGTAACCTTCAGTTCAACTCCTCAAGATTTAAGAACGTTCGACCGTTTAGATATCATGGCTCGAAGATACTGTACCCTTCTATGCTACACTGCAAACTCTGAATTACGCCGCCACCACCTGCTACCCACTGAGTAATTCCCCCAATTGACAGTGAAGCAGGATACCGTGAATTAGGTATAAAACCCCGAAAATGTATCCTCAGTTATTCAGAAAGGAGGGATAAGATTTATGTTAAGTGTGGGAATTAAATCAAAGTACAAAGGGATTATCTGAGGTATTAAATAACTGCTTGTAGGCTTGCAGAGGGAGCCTAGTCTCACGCATGGGCTCAAGGCTAACAGCAATGTAAAATAAACGTTGGAGGAAATTCTACTAAACACCATAAATTCAATAAAAGATTTATTAAATCAAAGATTAACACTGAAAATAAAAATTAATAAAACTATCGAAACACTTCCTAACCGAACATTTTCCTAACTGAGGCAATTGGTAATTAACTACAATTAATGTGGATTTCTACATTATAATAAACTCAAGACAGAGATACCTTAAAATATCACAGTCAGGCCTCGATGTTCTGCCGTGACTCCAGGGGATCAGTCCGAACCCAGTTGATAAACAGCCCACACTGACTAACCTCTCCACACTGACCTTGTGTGAGGCTGAACCTAGCTCAATTGCCAAATTAATCTTTGAAGATTACTAACTAAAAATCCTAATGGTGACTTATTATCCCAAAACAATTGGGAATAATCTAGATATGAGAGCCAGGCTAATTACAATATTCAATAGCCCTTGCATTTCATTAATTTACAGGAATTAACAAACAAGTTGGTAGTACCTATTTTCCAGTGACGAAATATGTCTTACCTATATTCAGATCTTAATGAAGTCAAATGCTTCTTTGATAACATACAAGACTTATTCATTATTCTCAATTGACGTTAATTTTAACATAAGTACTTAACCCCGATTGATAATTCCTACTAATTCTGTAATACCTTTCATTATTCACCTAGTTGGATGACTTGACACAGGGGAGTCTGTGGTGCTGCCATTTCTACATTATGAGCTCACATCGCTATGGGGGGGTGACCCTCTCTAGCCAGTCAGGTCACTACCAACTCCCTACCACTTTACAAAGGCCGTATCCTCCCTTCTAGTGAACTACAATATTTCATGTTAGATCTTATGGACTTTCTATATTAACAGTCCTACTGTTAAACCCAGTAGGCCTAGAACTCCATTCGCTTTGACTGATGCCAGGCCCAAATATGTTCATATCAGCCTGGATAGCTCAGGGGAGCCGAAGGTGCTTCCCCCAGAAAATGTTCCCATTTCTGATACCAATCTTTTTATTACAAAATTAAATTCATGATTATTGCAAATGTGTTCAATAGTCATTCTTTTTATGTAATCACAAATTTTGAAATATATACTGTACCTCACTTATTCGTATGTACTTTTATTTGTGTGTATTTATATTAAAACTTCTAATCTTTTTTTTTAAGCTATTAACTGAGTACAGTACATATAAGTATGCTTCACACAAGGTAATTCAGTAAAAACTACAGATGTTGCTCAGCTATATGTCGTTTAAGATTGCTGAACTTTGCTGAATTATAGGAACAGTCAGAACAAGTGTAAGACTGCTCTCTAGAATGAATCCTCATATGAGTTTTCAGAGCACCACTTTGAGTGCTTCTGTAATCACAGTGGGGGCATGAAAAGGGCTTCTCTCCCGTATGAGTCCGTAGATGAACTTTAAGGATTGAATTGTACATAAAACTTTTGGAGCAGTGTGGACAAATATATGGTTTCTTGGTGTGTTTCCGAATATGAATAAGCAAAGGAGAACTGCTGCTAAAACTCTGGTAACATATAGGACACTCGTAGATTTTCTTTAAACTGCTCGTCATCTCCCAGGGTCCCCAAGCTCCCTTTTGATCATCATCCTGATATACCTGTAAGAGATAGCAGTCTTACAACTAGATATGATTCAATCGCAGGAAAGTGATAAAAAAAATATATCTACAAGCTGGCATTCCTCAGGATATGGAGTGGGTGTTGTAATGAATATAGAAGGTACAATAAATACATGAAGTAATGAGTACAGGGGGATTACCTTGGTTACCTTACTTTGTGGTGATTCCGAGGATCAACGTCTCCGTGGCCCTGTCTCTGACAAGGCCACCTGGTTGGTGGCCTGGTCAACTAGGCCGTATGATGCAGTTGTTTGCAGCATGACATATGAATCATAGCCTCTTGAGGTTATCTTGAGATGATTTCGGGGCTTTTTAGTGTCCCCGCGGCCCGGTCCTCGACCAGGCCTCCACCCCCAGGAAGCAGCCCGTGGCAGCTGACTAACACCCAGGTACCTATTTTACTGCTAGGTAACAGGGGCATAGGGTGAAAGAAACTCTGCCCATTGTTTCTCGCCGGCGCCGGGATCGAACCCAGGACCACAGGATCACAAGTCCAGCGTGCTGTCCTCTGGAGGTATTTATCGAGTTCTCTCTTTAACACTATGAGTGGCCGGCCAATTATGCCTCTTATGTGCAGGAGGGAGAGTGTTAAAAAGTCTTGGGTTTTGGATGTTGATAGAGTTCTCTCTGTATTCCTATTGTACCTCAGCTTTTCATTTTGGGGCTATTTTGCACATCCTGCCATGCCTCCTGGTCTCATGTGATGTTATTTCTGTTTGCAAATTTGGAACCAGTACCTCTAATATTTTCCGGGTGTAAATTATGATCTCTCTCTTATCTGCAATCTAGACAATAGAGATTTAACAATTTTACTTGGTCTTAATATTTTAGATGTTTTATAGAATGAATTCTAGCAGTAAAGAATTTTGGCACAATGTCCAGGTCAGCAATTTTCCAGCTCTGAATGGGGTTGTTACTGTTCAACAATTTTCCGCCCTAAAGAGCACTAGTGTCTTGAAAAGTATCATCATTGATATGGCAGATCATGTTTGAAAGGTTCTTGTTATCAAACATGTCATTTTTCTTGCTGTCGTGACAATTACCGTATTGTGTTCTTTAAAGATAAAAGACTTCTGACATGATTACTCCCAAATCCTATACATTGTTTTTCTATAGTGTGATATAACTGCATTATATATGTGATTTTTGTTTTTATAATTTCATTTTTTCATAGCACAGGAGCTGTAACTTATTTTTATTAAATATCATTATTAACTGTGGCCCATTGTAAGACCTGATTTACATCAGATTGGAGGTTTACTGTGTCCTCTATATTGTCTACTCTCATGACAATAGTAATATCTGCAAAAGATGGTAACAGTACAGTACAACCGCGATTCAACGTACCCCAATTCAACGAATCTCCGGCTAGGTCGCACACTTTTCAGGCCGGATTTACTCGCCTGGTTCGACGAACAATGGTTCGCCAAAGCGGGGGATGTGCAGATTTGCTTACGATGTCGGGACAGAATTCACAGACTGGTAGAAAACTTTCCCATTCTATCACAGGTTACAATTAATAATTCCCTCATATGACAAGTTAGATCACACAAGTGGTCCACAAGCTTAAGATGATGGGACAGTTCACAGAGTGGTGAAAAACTTTTCCATTCCATCACAAGTTACAATTAATAATTCCTTCATATGACAATTTGGATCACATATCTGTGTCTGGTTCCCTGAAGATTTCATTTTGTACAAACACACTTTGGAACTTTTCGTTTAATGTTTCACGCATTTCCTTTTCATTTCCCGTGTATCTGTCCCCCATTTTCAATCTCTGAATATTATCCTTTACCTGCAGCTTGCTTTTAATGAATTAAGAGAAAGTGTGGAGAGGGTTTGGGGTGTGTACCCTTCTCTGGATGTGGGAGGGGGAGTGGATATGGGAGGGGGAGGGGTGGATGTGGACTAGTTTGAAGGTGAGGGTGTAGGTGGGTTTGATGGGAGAGATGTTGGTAAGTTGTTGTGGATGAAGTGGGAATGGAGGAGTGGGTGGATTTATAGGGGATGTTGTAGGGGTGGGATTGGGGGGGGGGGTACTCACCAAGTTGTACTCACATAGTTATGCATGCGGGGGTTGAGCTTTGGCTCTTTGGTCCCGCCTCTCAACTGTTAATTAACTGGTGTATAGATTCTTGAGCCTAATATGCTGAATCAAATCTACATTTGAAACTGTGTATGGAGTCAGCCTTCACCACATCACTGCCTAATGCATTCCATTTGTTAACTACTCAGATACTGAACAAATTCTTTCTAATGTCTCTGTGGCCCATTTGAGTACTAAGCTTCCATCTGTGTCCCCTTGTTCGTGTTCTGCCAATGCTAAACAGTTTATCTTTGTTCACCCTGTCAATTCCTCTGAGAATTTTGTAGATGATGATCATGTCTCCTCGAACTCTTGTGTCTTCCAGGGTTATGAGGTTTAATTCCCGTAGCCTTTCCTCATGCTGGAGCTGCATACTCCAGGACTATTGTGACGTATGTGGTATACATATGGGGTGTGTGGGTAAGATTGTGTGGGGTGGAGTTGTGAAGGGTGTTAGGGTAGAGTTATAGAGGGGGTATTGGGGTGGAGTTGTAGGGGGGGTATTAGAGTGGAGTTGTAGGGGGGGTATTGGGGTGGAGTTGTAGGGGGGGTATTGGGGTGGAGTTGTAGGGGGGGTATTGGGGTGGAGTTGTAGGGGAGGGTATTGGGGTGGAGTTGTAGGGGGGGTATTGGGGTGGAGTTGTGGGGGGTGTTGGGGTGGAGTTGTGTGGGGTGGAGTTGTACGGATGTGGGAGAACGAGATCACATTCATTTTTTTTTTTGAAAGAATCTTAAATAGGATGCAGCTTAACACTTTCGCTCGGTAATGACGCAGCATTGTGTCATTTTTTAGTAGACGCATTTCCGGTAGCGACGCAGCATTGCATCGGCAGTAAATTGGCAGCGGCTTCGGGAGGGGCGCGCTGCGGTTTTGCATATTATATGCATATACTCCCGTAGGGAATTTGATTGTGAATACATTGATACCAAAATGAAAGACCTAGGTCCAGAATTGAGGTAACAAAGTTGAAATCAGTATACCCATTTTATTTGCGCTCACTGGGATTACGCTCCGTCACTTTCTCTGTTTGCTGTGGGTGGTACGCCTGGCTTTTGGACTTTCTGGGCCACTTTCATCTTGTCGGTGGGTGGAGCGCGCTGCGATTTTTTACTTTATCTGCATATACTCTTGTTGGGAATTCTATTGTGAACACAATGATACCAAAATGAAAGCCCTAGAATGGGAATTGAGGTGACAAAAGTGAAAAGAGTGTACACATTCTATTGTGAACACAATGATACCAAAATGAAAGCCCTAGAATGGGAATTGAGGTGACAAAAGTGAAAAGAGTGTACACATTTTATTGCTCTTGTGCACTCCCGGGTAACATGCACTCACTTTCTCTCTTTGTTGTGGATGGTACGCCGGGCTTTTGGACTTTATATGATACCTGCTTGATGGGGTTCTGGGAGTTCTTCTACTCCCCAAGCCCGGCCCGAGGCCAGGCTCGACTTGTGAGAGTTTGGTCCACCAGGCTGTTGCTTGGAGCGGCCCGCAGGCCCACATACCCACCACAGCCCGGCTGATCTGGAACTTCTCTTTGAAAACAGTCCAGTTTTCTCTTGAAGATGTCCATGGTTGTTCCGGCAATATTTCTTCTAGTTGCTGGGAGGACGTTGAACAACCACGGACCTCTGATGTTTATACAGTGTTCTCTGATTGTGCCTATGGCACCTCTGCTCTTCACTGGTTCAATCTTGCATTTTCTTCCATATCATTCACTCCAGTATGTTGTTACTTTATTGTGTAGATTTTGGACCTGGCCCTCCAGCATTTTCCAAATGTATATTATTTGGGCTCTCTCTCGTCTCCTTTCTAGAGAGTACATTTGGAGAGCTTTGAGACGATCCCAATAATTTAGGTGTTTGCCTTTAGTCTTGTGGCCCAGAAATTTAGGCGTTTGCCTTTAGCTCTTTTGCCTCTATTGCGAACACAATGATACCAAATTGAGAAACTTTGGACGAGAATTGAGGTGACAAAGTTGAAAAGAATACACACTTTTCAGAATTACCGCACGCTCCCGTGAACCGCTGAGGCCCACCTGGGGTAGTGCGGGTCTCGCTTGCGCGGTGCAATAAAGTGTTAATTTCTTTCATTCAAGATACAATTTTAACCACTTAACTGCGCCAACCGAGTATTCTCGCTCGGCGGGAAACTGCGCCAACCGAGAAAACTCATTTTGATTTTTCCATACCATTCTAAATGTGTGCGAGGTTGGTTATGTATGAAATGGACTCTTAGGACCTCCAGTGAGAGGCAGCCATCTTGGAAAAAATTCCCAGAATGCCCTAAGGCTGCTTGCTAAGTTAGTACTGAGTGAGCAACCATGGGTGGTGCACGCGCCTCTGGCTCCAAAACAGCTGTCCGATACGGAGTTGAAAGATCACGCGCCCTGTCGGTGAAATTCAAACCTTATTGTTTGGAGAACATACGGGTCATAAAATTGGTGAAGGTCGGATGCAAGTGATACAGCACCTATGAGGAAGATACAGCGTGCATATCCAGTTGTAGCTCTCAGCACCACCCTTGCCCAAGTATGTTATCTCCAATTTATATGGATGATACATAGATGAATCATTTTCTGCGTTTAGTGATGATGCATATGATACAAGTAGCATAGATGAACAGTGTTAGCGGCTTCCATGGTGGTATTTTCTATAGATATTTTCAAGAATAGCCGAATCTCTTCCAGATTGACGGACACTTTTTGAGGCAAGCTGAATCTCTTCCTGACTGACGGACACTACAAAGCGATCTTTTCAAGACTACCTTACAAATTGATCTTTTCCTATAATCTTTTCAATACTACCTTATGCTTTACAAGCTTGGCTAGTACTTGTAGGTTGTATATAAAGCCAAGGGTGTACGTGAGTGCGTTATTTGCAAGCA